TCTCTGCTCAGTCATCAGAATAACAGGTGTGGCAAAAGCTATTCGGGTGTCATATCTTGGTCCACTTTATGTGGCATTGTGTGTCACAGACACACTTTTGCACCAGCAGCAGGACTACAGCTGCCTCAGTTTCCTGGTGCAGCTGTGCAGCACTAGTGCAGGATCACCAAGGAATGGCGATCTATCTGAACCTATCTCAAATCAGGCTGGCCTCTGTGACTCTTATTTGTATGTCAGTGTAAAGGCATAATGAAGGCACACATTGAGAAAATTTGAAGTTTCTGTTCTATACTGGTGATGTTTAAAAACTTGCTCTAAACTCTATTTGGAGCACAAGTTAAAAATTATGAAGAAATTATTTCCCATGTCATGAAAACTACTGATAATGAGCAGTAGGAATATAGACTACCTGCATTAACTAACCTATCTAGCCAAAAAAGAGTCACATTCAAACAACTTTAACCACTTTTACATTACTGCCCTTCAATGCTATACTGCATATCCCTGCCAAGTGGTGTTTTGTTACACATCCTAATCTTCTACCACAATGCATTACAAGAAATGTTTTCAGTTATTACTCTTTGCAAGCTCAGAACAGGTTTTTCACAGAGGAAATTACTTCAGCACAGCACTTCAGCATTTATTAGTCAGTTTTTCATTGAGAATACATAGATTTTAGGCAATTAATAACATGGAATGCAGATATTGCTGCTCTTCTTTCCATATGCAGAATATGAAATACAGATTTTTTTTAACATGAAAACATGTTTCTTTAAGAAGATCACATTAGCTGTTCCCATCAGAAAATACAATATGTAAACTTGCTATATGCTACCCAGTTGTTTTAAACTAATGATAATATGAGCATAATTTTTAGTATTAGTAAAATATACTACAATATGCCATCTGGAATGAACTTATGGCACTTTTTAAGGGAGAAACCATGTTTCACAGATACATGATTAGAGGGAAGCATTTAATATAGTACAGTGACATCCATAAATCATGACTTCTCAGGAAAATTTTCTAACCCCACCTCACTTTACAGACAGGAGATTGGTAGATCTTCAGTATTTGGAGGTCTTTGGACTGTCATTCGGTGCTGGGCTCAACTCCTGCAGAGTATCCTCCTGAGTACTTATTAAAATAAAATAACTGTCTAAAACAATAAAATTTTTGTTCTTCAGTTTTTCAGTTTCAGTCTTCTGCTGACCTTTAGATAATCATGAGATGTTTATCACCGAGGAGGGAAGAGTGGTTCCAAAGTAGACTTTAGCCTCTCCTCCCTTTAATGTGACCCCAGGAGAGAGATGAAAGCATTCAACTATTTCTGTTTCCTAGGAAGAAACTTGCTATTTTGCCCTCACAGGCTTCCTGCAATGTTTCTTTGGGGTGACTGATACTATGCATTACCAAGGTCTGTCTCCTGGAGATGGCAAAGGCTGCTCTGAGCCTTTGGACAGTCCTGGCACTGATGCTTCTTGTCACCTCCAGTCCCTGTCAGTCATGGATCAAGTATCTCACTGTTACCTGCACCAACAGAGCTGACTGTTGCTAGCAAACAACACAGTAATCAATACATTCCTTGGAAATAAGAATTTTTACTAGGAACATCCAGTGGGATTATTCAACGTGACAAACCCCCAAGATCTTCAGTGCCTGAGTAGAAACACAAGAAAACTGAACAATGCCACCATGCACATACACACAGAAACAGAAGATAGATAATGGCTGAAATTACTCTAAGTTTGTGGGTTTTAAGCTATCGAGAGACCTAAAGTGGAAACACATTGCTGAACAGTTAGCTTATTCCCATTAGCAAAGATTCCTATTTTAGAAGTCTTCCCTGTCTGCAATACCTTGATTCATGTCCCCTTGAAATTATTGACATACCAAATGAAATCCTTACATTCTGAATCAAAATCTGAAGGTTGGAATGCCATAGCACAGGTAATATCTGCCTTGGGAACACCAGTGCCAAGTATGTGGTGATCTTCAGTTTTCCTCCAACACCTTCTCCTTCTTTTTTATTTGGCAGCAGTGAGATCGAGGCAATGACTCCTATGACCTGCTCAGTTTTTGAAAATTAAGGTATGTAACTCTGTATTAACAATGTTCCAGCTTCCTAACACCCCCATCCAAAAAAAAAGAAGCAAACCAGTAATAATTAGGAAACTTTTTCTTTTCCATTTTACCTTTGCACTTCACCATCTATTCTCTATTAACTGCTCTCTTCATTTGTTTGCTCAATCTTCTCTCTTGAGCAGATAAAAAGGTTTCATTAAAGTAAAGCCTAATGCTGTCAGTGGCAGGAGAGCTGCCAACCCTGGTGGTTTTCATAAGTCTATTAAGCTGACCTAAGCATGCTAATACTTAATAAATTCCCTCCATTCACAGCAGTCCTTTGCAAATACCCTTTTATCTCATAAGGAAAACTAGGTTATGCAATTCAAATGAGTAATAAAGGACCAGACCCCACACTTTGGGGTATATTTATGTATACACACAGTTGCATCGAAGAGGAGCAGCACATAGCATCAACTGCAATCTCTCCTCAACCGGAAGTACTAGTTGAGATTACAGAAAGGGCTAACAACTTGATGAAAGCATTCCAATTACTAAGATGAAACTGGCACTGGACAAACAAAACAGATCTTTTTTTCATGGATTTCCTTCAATAGTTCATTTGCTGAGCAGATTTGAGCAGATTTTCTAAACCTATTTGAAGGATATCTGCTATACCTATTCAGTAAATTTTCTCTCTAGTTTATCCAGCAAGCAAAAAAACCCCAAACCCCAGATTCTAGAAATCACTGCCATCTTCTTTACCAGTTAAAGTGGTAAAAAACCACTCTGAAGAACAAGTGGACTACAAAGCACTACTAGTCAGCATCACCCCTAACTAAAGGAAAAGCCTTTAACGTTATTTGTCACTATTCAGTTCCTCCAGAGATCCAGGATTTACTTTTAAATTCAAAAAAAGCTTTTAAAGCAACAAAGTATCTAGCCTTCATCGCTTCCCTAAGAGAAAAACAGTCTGTAGCAGTAGAAAATTACTGGTTGGAATTCCCTCCAGAAAGGCTAATGTAATTGTTCGGACAAAGTAATAAATATGGGGGCAGGGCACGGAGTTGAGAAAGGGTTTCCTACGTCTAATAGGAAATGTACTCAATAAGCAGCAGGATTTAAGTGAATATGTCCCTGATAGCTACCAACAGGCAACTGCAAAAATGATGGCAGAACAGTCTCACAGTATAATTTCTTCAGCCATAATAGAAAACATTGGCTTACAATATCTGATCTTTTATTCATTCTCTGTTTTCAGGGAATGCAAAGGTTACTGGAAACCCTACTCAGTTTGGTTCATACAAAATTATCATGCATGTGGAAATATAATAAAAGGACCATGGTTCTGTGAATAAACAGGATCACATTTTAAATTCTAAACCAAAACTGTCTTAATAAGAAAAAATACTCATTTTTGTAAGGATTTAGCAGATTAAAACTAATCACATGTGTATCTTGCTATACTTAATGCAGCATTTATATACCAGCTACTGCAGTGAGGTAAACAATGTATTAGCAACCTTGCACAGAACTAGAACTCCTACCAGGGAAAATAAACCACCCTTCTCCATAAGAAGTGTCTTTCTGCTTCCCCAAGAAAAGAAATTATCTAGGGGGCTGAAGCCACCTACAGCAGGTGACAATTGTATAGCTTAGCCATAGCTGTGGTGAAGTTTTCAAAGAAAGAAAAGCTTGACAGAAAGATTCTTCACAATCAGCTGAGAATACCCTTAAGCAATCCTCCTCCATTTTATTTCATTAATTTATTTCCTGTCCTTGCAGAACAAAACAGTACTTACTCTACACAGTGCAAAAGACCACACACCTCTTCTCTAACGACTCATTTCTGCTGTTCTGCTGCATTGGAACACCCACTTGTCAGAGAACAGAGAATATGGAAAAGTTGAGAGCAATGAAGAAGCAAAGGAAATTATGTCCTCTGAATAAACTTACTTTACATAAGAGAAATATGGCAACATTTTTTTCTCTTCTTTTTAAATAAACACTCTTACAATCTCATCTGAATGACCCATGTGATGCTGAATAATGCATCCATCTAACAAAAGAGGAATGTATTTCACCCCTAAATTCACATCTAGGAGCTGTTTTATAAGATAATACTGAATATTTCTGAACTCTTATAATTTAAGCTTATGGGAAAAACCCCACAAATTAGGGGTCTTGACAAAAATCTAGTGTGCCACAGAAGGCAATGCAAATTAAAGGAAAGTAAAAGTAAAATGATCATGGAGACTATCAATGTATTTTATGTCTTCTTCTTTAGTGCCATCTTGGTACCCAATGATTCCCCTTGTGGCTAAAGAGTAATGTAAAGGAAGATGTGACATCTGTCCTTCAACTTACTTTTCTATGAAAGTAGTAAAACTTTAGTAACAATACCATTACCTCTTAGAAATCCATGCATTTGTTTTTGAGGCAACTGATGTGGTTTCAGAAATAAACATCAGAAAAAATGCTACAGTTTTTCCTTCAATTACTGTCTCTTGATACCATCAACACATAATGGTAAGGATGGCAATAAACCCATTATTTCAAAATAAATTTGCAGTCTTTTTGTGCACAGCTGTTGATTTATATAAGTGAACTTTGTACTGCTAAGAAACACAATTCACATACCAGGAAAGAATGTTAAAAGTAAGTCAGTGATATAGTAAGCTTTCTTAACCCAATTTGCATTCCAGCCTCCAGCTTGAAACATAATGTTTATTCCTCATATTCTACAGTGTTAAATAACACTGTAACTAGATGCTGAAGACAAGAATCATTCAACATTACCCACCCTTGATCTTTACACAAAATTCCCATGACATCCATAGAACTTCCACAGCTGTACAAACTCGAATAAGGTCCGTGGCAAACACAGCTTTCAGGATTTGCTCTACAATAAATATCACAAGTGAAAGAGAGACCGCAAATGTTAACTTTTTATTTCTTTTGAACAGATAAAGGTTATATGAAACAATTGAAATTATTTCTATTTATGAAACAATTCATTTAGAGCCATCTTGTGGGGAAAATAAGCAAATTAAAACAATACATGTATTTTAATATCTTTTCTACCAAAAAGATCAGTGGTTAGTATGACATCTTCTAGTACTCTTTAAAAAAAATAAATGTCTCAGGCACACTGTAAACTTTATACAACATTGTTTAATCCCCTAGAACATGAAGGAAGTGCCTTTATGAATAATCACATGTTAAAAGATTAGTTCTAGATAGAAAAAATATATATCATTGTGTTAAAGATGCTATTTTTCTGAAGAATATTTTTAGACCAGATTCTATTCAAATTCCACCCAACTATAGGCCATAAAAAAAGCACAAAAACTGAGAGAAGCTAAACCTTCTTTCAGAGCCCTCTTGAGTAAATTGGCTAGAATTATTCAATCTAACTAAACTGGGTGTAAAACACAGCAAAATATATCTAAACATATTAGCAGATTTAACACATGAACCTGAAAAGTTTTCATTGTTAAACATCCTCAGCATTTCTAATTTAAAGCTTTGATAATATTCGCAAGTTCTGAAGGAGTTTACACCAGCTGTTAAAAAGAACTCATTACACAACAGTCTGCTGTTTGTATACACTTAAGGAAAGTACAGCTTAGGGCAGTCCATTTCAGTATAATCAAAAGTCATGATGCAGACTTCAGCTACCTAGGGCAATCAAACATCAGCTCTGCTTGATTTATGTGTCTTATCTATGAAGCAAAGTGCTTAAATTTTATCCTAGAGAAGAAAAGCGCACATATAGGTCATATATCTTACTCAGTTTTAATTTATGCCCTAATAAAATACTTCATTTATATAGAACATTAAAGCGTATCACATCACATTTATCCAATAAGTAATTATCTTCTATTAATACAAAAGTAAAACAGGACATCACAGAACAATTGAAAGCACACAATCAAGGGTGTCACAGAAATATGCATTTTTTTGAGCTGTTACAATCAGTGTATAGTATGGACTAGCAGGCACCTCTGTTAATTTATTTTTTAAATGAAGAAATTTGACAACAAAAGGGTCCTATGATACCCAAAACTTCTGACAGCTGTAACTAAACAGAACACACTGGCATCGAGACATATAACTAGACAATTTTGCTAAGGCAAGCACAAGCATGCCAATTTCTATTTTGACACTCCTACCAAATTTTGAGCGAAAGAACATGTACATGTGCGCTTATAGCTTTCCTTCCTCTGAAAGGGGACTGTGAGATCTGCTTCCTCCATGCCTGCTTTAAACTTTGGAAAGGAGCCCTGACTCAGGGGCACTTGCCTTAATGAGATTTTGAATTTCTTTGAATTTCGGATGTTCTTTATCAGCTACCAGCTGCAGCAATATCGCTTCACTAGTAGTAACTATAATTCCAGTACGTGCAAGACGCTGAAAAATAAAAGAGCAGAAAGAAAATCATATAAGATATTTGCAAATGCGAATGAGTGAATTTTGAAAGAACAGAAATTTTTTTAAAAACATCTCCTATTAACAAAAGTACTGCCAATTCCATTCCAGCATTTCTTAGTGATATAATTTATAAAGCTAGGATGAAAAACTGACAGGGTTTAGACTTTGCTATGGCAAAAGGCTGCCCTGGATTACAAATAAGGCTTTCTACTTGAACTAGATTCCTTCCCCAAGTCAGATTCAATAGGCAGCAGCCCCACACATCTTAATAACAACCCTTTCCCCTTGCATAACCCAGCTTTCTTCACTCTCATGCAGATGAAAGGCCTGGGGATAAAAATAAAATAGCAAGGTCCAACCTAACAGCATTAAGCAAGATATTATAACAATTTCTTTCTCAGTCCTTGTTGTGTATGACTACTTCATCTTTCGGACTACAGAGTGCATTAGTAGCAATAATCTCTGGAGAAAGAGGGGAAATATCTTCCACAGACATTATAAATCATATTGGCACAACAGAAGCTCTTTTTAAATGATGTTTCATTACAGACAGTAACTCCAGAGTCAGCTCTCACAGGCTGCGGGATAAAATGTATCGCTGCAGAGAAAGCAAAACCAAAAGAGGTCTGCTAGATCTTGTAAGGGTGCAACTCAACAGGGCTTGGGCTTCATGTAGCCCAAGGCACAGGACTTATTGTAAAGTTATTGGGCTTTTAAAACTGTGGTTGTTGCTTACATAACAAAGCTGCCTCCATCAAAGGCTGATCAACCCATGTCACCCACCATCTTCCCAGCCATCATATAAATGATTTGGCAGTAAAGCTCTTCATAGAGTCAGCTTCCCCTCCCTCATCCACTACTCAGCTGCATGCTCCACCAAATCTAATGGGATTCTGAATGAGCTAAAGGAGGGCAAGTGGCAGAGAATAGACATATGTACATACAGGGTTCAGCTGTAATCATTAAAGCAAAGAGAAGCTCTAAACTTTCTAGCTCTTCAATTACAAAGCAACTGATGGGTGAAAGTTGCTAACTTTAAAGGACCAACCAACAAAGTATATGTAACTACAACCTACATAACAACAAACTAACAACACTGGATTAACTGAATTCAATAGTTCCCACTTGACATTACAGCAACAAGCCTCGCAATATTCTTACACTGAAACACAGTAACTATCTTCCTCAGCACTCCTACTCCATACAACCATATTTGCTAAATTTCACACGCATACAAAAAAGAAGAAAAATAGAAAAATTAATATGAAATTATGGCAATGTTTTCAACATGAGCCTCTCCAAGAATACAAAGGTTTTGGTTTTAACTATCGTGGATGCCAAAAAAAAAAAAATCTAGACCCTTAAAAAATCATTTCTGTCTGTGAATTGTTGATTGAAAAGAGAAAACATATTCTCTTTAAATCAAAACACACCATAACATGTCAAAAGAAGCTGGCACTGCCTTATACCTTTTCTAGGACTAGATATTGTTTTTATAGATTTTAGATTAGTAGAAAATAAGATATGCATTTGCTAAGTATATTGGATGATTTCCAAGGAAATCACAAGTTTTCTTAGAAGAGTCTTTGAGAAGGAAGATATTGACAGTATGTTGCATCCACACTGCAGAAACATGTAGAAAAGACAACAGCAAAGAAAACCAGCAGGAGCAGACTAAGCTGTCTCAATCTGAGACCAAGCACTGGCATAAGACATCTTCATCAGGCAGGGGAGAAATGCAGAATAGTCACAGCCTTAAACTTTTGGGCAGAGTTATTTCATCAATGAAAATTTCGAGATTTTTTTTGTTTCTGAGCATTTTTTTAACTAGAAGTTGTTGCCTGCTGTCATTTTTAAGCACACAACAGAAGTGGAGACAACCTGTTATCCAAGCAGACATGAAAGCTTTCGTTATCAATTAAGTCAAATTGCACTTCCTAGTACACCCACTCAAGTATTTTATATTAATCACCAGCACAATCAAAACACATGCTATGTGATGGGAAATGTGGAGAACTGAAGGGGCAGGTGGGACCAGATGGGAGTTATTTGGGGCTGCTGAGGTTATCACTGCAAGGTCACTCTTCATTATTCTTGAAAGGTCACTGTGAATAGAGAAGGGCTGTGTTATTGTGAAAAGGCAGACGTTACATTCATCTTCCCAGAAAGGTAAGCAAAAGGGTCCAGGAAGCCTGGTCAATAAAACTCACCTCAGCTCACCAGCTTGCATAAGTTTGCACAAGAGACAATGTTAGACTCATTCATTAAAAGAATGTGACTAGGAACTGTGAGCTGTATGGTGAAACTAAAGCAGGATTACCCAAGACTTTGCCCACTTTCCCCATAGTGTCACAGTCAACCAGGATTAAGGACATGTCCATTTCTCCTGGTCTCCTCCTCCCAAGCATGCCCATGTATTGCTTGCTCTAGCCCACACCCCTCAGTAGCACTTTGAAGTGAGGCTCTGTAACACAAGAAGCAGACAATGTTGGTATGTGCTGCCATGTGCAGAGAAGGTGTTACTGCTGGCTCAACTCCGCACGGCAAGTGTTGGCTCAGTCATATTGTAATGACTGACAACATAAAGGACCACCGAAAAACTCTCTTTTGCTTACTGAGAAAGCATTGCAAAGGTATACCAAAAAGTTACCTAACATTGAAAATGTTTCAGCTTTTGCTAGCAATCACACTTCTAAAATCAATACCTTTTTGCCTAGAAAGTAAAGCAAAGCTAGCTAGTAACTGTTTTAACCTTTTTTACATTGGCCCAACTTCTATGCTTAAAGACACATTGTAAGTAATAAATGTACAAAAACATACACAGGAAGGCCAACAGATTTCAGGTTTTCTGCATCTGTTTTGTCTCCTGCTGCTGCTGCACCACATTGATTTGGGAAGTCCATGACTTCAGTCACTCCTGTACTCTGTGTGTGTCCCTATGCTCTATGTGACAGTTGACATTAGGTTTCCACTTAATCAAAGTCACGGGTTTCATCAATCACTGCATGCTGGGGATTTCTCTTTAGCCTTTAAGAAATTAAGTCTTCTCAAAATCTATGAAAAAGTATAACATGCTGTGGTTATCATTGGTTTCTACTTCAAATAACTGTTAGAGCCTGAGGCAAAAAATTGCAACACTTAATGTATGTATCGGGTTTTGACTTTCAACATGATGCCTGTAGGCAAGTTAGGAGTACACCATCAAAAAATCATTTACATGAATTTGCTATGACATAGTCGTACACGCTTTTAAATCTTCTTGTTACATTTATCTCCACTTTCTCAACATTTAGTTTGCCTAAGCTCCTAAAAGCAGGGGGGAGGGGAATCTTTACTATAATCAGGGTCTTGCGATTAAGCTTTAATTTGCACTGATGAGGATAAGCAGGAGGAGGGACAGAGGTACAAGGAGATTTGAACAGGATCACATACTACTGTATTTCATTCCACTTCAAGAATTTCAACACCTGAATAAATACTCTTTGGGACAACAAAGCCGAAAGCTTTATAGCACTTTTACTCTGCTGTAGAGATAACACTGCATAAAGGGATATGCTAAAATACTAATGTTTATACAGAGTAATTTATATTGTATGGAACAGTCACTTTTAAATTACAAACATTCCAAACTGGGTTATGCATATTAAATCACAATTTAAGGAGGTTTAAAAAAAGCCAGTATTTCTTCTCCATTTTCAATGCTATTTTAAGAATCACAGTACCCAACTCTTCTCAAATCTACTTTTATCCACTGCTTTGTCCATAGAAATTCCTTGTTAGCTTACAGTAAGCAGAGAACTTAACATACCAACCCAACGTGAAGAAAGCCCTGACTAAGAAACTTACTTCAAGAGCAAACATTCTGTCCATCATACTTCTTGACGATGTGGCATCAGCTACAATATGAACTTCCAGACCTCTGCCAATTAATTCCAATGCTGTTTGCTGGATACAGACATGAGTCTACAGGGGAGAAATTAAAGGCAGAAAAGACACCAACAAACCATTATTATGAAATGAAAGTAACACAACCACAAATTAGAGTTCATAATTAATTAGAGGTCAAATACGTATTTTTCTACCCCTGGCAGTACAAGGGAATTCAATATGCATTTTAAATGCCAGTTAAGATTTAGACAAGTGCCTGTAGTTTACAAGTATCTCATCGGAAATTCTTTTATGAGATAATATTAAAGACAAGACAAAAATAATTTATTCTGTAGAGGATATCTAAGCTCCAAGTAATATAAACTGAGTCGATTTTTTTAATTACACAAAGTGATGTCCCCTTTGAGGGCCAATAGACATTATCATAAACCAGTATCAGAATGGCAAGGCACCTACTTCTACTCCAAAGAGGACAATACTCCGGACGCCAGGGATCTCTGCTAATGCTGCTTCAACTTCTGGCAACACCATTGAAAATTTTGTCTTGGAAAGCACAAGTTTAGCTCCTGTTAAATCAATTTCTTGCACAGTGCTGCCAAGACCTTTGGGATATTGTTCAGTGACAATAACTGGAATTCCCAAGAGCCGTGCACCTTGGAGCTGTAAGATGTCAGAGAGGAAAACATTAAAAAAAAAAAAAAAGAAAAAATAAAAAGAAAAGAACAATAATAACAAAGACACAGTTATTACCTAATACTAAGTAATTGTTAGACTGTATGTAAAATAACAGTTTACAATCAGTGATCAAAACTCACTACAAGAAAAAAAAAGCAAACATACCAGCCTTTGGCCTACACTGATGATATCACCAAAGTATTTGATGGCAGGCCGGAATCTCTCTTGCATGTCACAACAGAAAAAAACAGTGCTTGAGGGTGTCAGGTTGCCCAAAGTAGTAATCTGAGAAAAAGAAATAAAGGTAATGTTTTCCATGGCAATGGACATCCTTTCAGAATGCAGCAGAATGAGGAAGAGTTTGCAACACATCTGCTAGATTATGGATTTATGTTACTTTAGGTCAAAATAGGAGATAAGTTTTTCAAGCCTGATTTTGGTATGTTTCTGAATTAAAACAAATAGCTGATACTGAACAGTACAGTATAATCATCAATATGTAATCAAGATTTTATTAGGTGGGAAGCCCAAGGCAACATAAATGTACAGGGATATTTCTCTACTCTAAAGGGGACAGAGGAACACGCCACCTAAACCACAGCAAAAAAAAAAAAAAAAAAAAAAAATACCAAAAGCAAAATTGCATTCTTCAAATTCATTTTTAAGTCCACAATTATTGGAGCTGAAATAAACTCAAGATAAATTAAACTTTAAAAAAAATATCAGACTTACACTTGCTTTCAGATATTTTATGTACATATATTTTCAATACTTCCATTGTGTAGTCAATTTGACTTGTCTACGACTCTTTTATCACAAGTCTACTTTCATTCTAGCCTTTGGACTTTTATTAGAGAAGACTGTAAATATTAGAAACCAAACTGAATACATCTAAATGACAAAAGTAATCTCCTAGAGTTTCCCTCATGCAAGGTACCAAGTGGGGTAGAAGGGAGGGGTTAAGAAAAATAAACCAAATGCTTAATTTTCTTCGACACTTTGAAGGAGTGCTTCGTATTTGTAAAAATAAATTACTTGCACTACATGTAGAACCGAAGTATAGGGCTTCAGATGGAAGCTACAGGGAAAGAAAAGAGCTACACACTATCATTTAGTTGTAAGGCAACTCAAGAGAAATTACATCTATTCAGGAGCTTTTCAGCAGACAGATAAATCGAATTGAATAAAGAACTTCTGGGAAGTACCCATTAATTTTATACACCTCATTTTCTGCAATCTGAGGTTGTAATGTTAAAATTACAAAATCTGTAAAAGAATGTACTTCAGAAGAGTGCAGATGTATTGGGTTAACGTGACAAGGTTTTGGTAGTGAGGGGAGGTTGTAGGGGTGGCTTTTGTGAGATGCCAGAAAAAGCCTCATGTCAAGAGACTGTTAATGCCAGCTGAATCCAAGACAGATCTGCTATATCAGTGATGCTGGTGACAACTCTATGCTAACATATTTAAGAAAGGGTAAAAAACCCACTCTGCAACAGCAGCTGTGAGAAGAGGGTGAGAATATGTGGGAGAAACAGCCCTGCAGACACCAAGGTCAGTGCAGAAGGAAGGGCAGGAGGTGGCCCAAGTGCTGGAGCTGAGATTCCCCTGCAGCCCCTGGCGCAGACCATGGTGAGGCAGCTGTGCCCCTGCAGCCCATGGGCTTCCACAGTGGAACAGAAATCCACCTGCAGTCCATGCAGAGCCTTGAAGGAGCCCTGCAATATGCCTTAACAAAGGCTGTGACTCTGAAGGGCCACGCTGAAGCAGGCTCCTAGCAGGACCTGTTACTCTCTAGAGAAGAGCCCATGCTGGAGAACATTTGGGAAGGAATGCAGTCTGTGGGAAGGATGCACATTTGGGAAGTTCATGACATACTATCTCCCACAGGATGGACCCCACTCTGGAGCAGGGGAAGAGTGTGAAAAGAAAGAGTGGGAGAGCTGAAGTTTTTATGATCTGACCACAAACCCCATCCGCCATCCCTCTGTGCTGCTTGAAGGGAGGAGGCAGAGAAGTTGGAAGTAGAGCTAAAGTTGGGAAGAAGGGCGGGTTAGGGAAGAAGTGTTTTTACATTTGCTCTTATTTATGATTATTCTACGTGGTTATTGATTAGCACTATATCAAACAGATTTCCCCAAGTCTGTTTTGTTTTTGATGGTAATTGACAAGTGATTCCTCCCTGTCTTTATCTTGATACACAAGCTTCTTTCTCATGTTTTCTCCCCTCTGTCCTACTGAGGACAAGTGATGGAGCAGTTTGGTGGGCACCTGGTGTCCAGCCAAGGTCAACTCACCACAAAGGAATTGGGAATCGATAAATATTGGTTCCAAAACTTTCACAGATTCACCACAAGTCTCCAGAGTAAAATGCTGCTGATCTCAATTCCCAAGACCATGCTTAATAATGGCAGTGCTTAAACATATGCAATGGCCTGTTCAAACTGTTGGGAAAATTACTTGTATGCTAACAATTGCATATGCTAAATTCCCTCTATTCTCAGATTCATTACACCACTACTGCCAAAGCAGCAACCATTCATAAACATGGTTCCTCCAGTCCTTGTGAGCCAAACAGCAACACTATTAATACAAGCAGTCACAGAGGCAAACGCAGTAACAACCATAGTGCAGATTATGTAACACTGGGCTCACTGATACCCCAGGAAGACAGAAGAGCATCACAACAGGCATTAGGGAAACATTTTTCACAGGGAAGATACAGCTGCACTGAAAAAAATTTACCACAGATGTGAGATCTTCAATCCTAGGAGATTTTCAGTATTCAGCAGCGAGGCAGGTGATTTGATCAAGGGGTTAGGGAAGGCAGCCTCTAGATACTTTCCCCAAGTAACACTTCTGCAACTCTACACCAGATAATGACCAAGAAAGATTGGACATGAAATTAAATAACCACCTTGTTCTTGAACATCATCCATCATACCATACCATTTGCCTGAACAATGAAAAAAGCAATTGGCAGGCAGTATTAATGTACAATTCAACACCATAGGGAACACGTAATGTGACCCATTCCAGCTCTGGCACTTACTACCATCACAGAAGTCAATCATGACATTTAACTTTCCCACCGCTCGGCAGTAAAAATAGAATAACTGGAATAAACAATATCTGTAAGTGTGGTTCCTACTCATAAAATGTGCCATTTTGTCTTCGTGTTTATATGACAAGCAAAGACTATTATTTTCTCCTTTAAATCTTTCCATCACTTTAACAGCTGCACCAGAGGAGGTTTAGGTTGGACATTAGGAAGGATTTCTTCACAGGAAGGGAGATTAGATACTAGAATGGGCTGCCCCAGAAGGTGGTGGAGTCGCTATCATTGAAGGTGTTGAAGGAAAGACTGGAGGTAGCACTCGGTGCCATAACCTAATTGACAAGGCAGGGTTCAGTCATAGGCTGGACTTGATCTCAGAGGTCTTTTACAGTCTAACTGATTCTGTGAATTTTTAAGATCTGTCTGAACCACAAACCATCATGGACTATAGAGTGACTGATGTGAAGTTGATCTACTGCCTCAATATGCACCTTCCTCTGCCAGTGCAGCAAATGGCACTACCACCCCTAGCAGAGGAACAAATGTGAATAGCATTGGAAAGTCTTCAAGAAGCTGCATAATCTGCCCCTAGAGAAGGATCAAACAAACACCAATATTCTTCAAAGATAACCACATGGCCTGACTCATCAGAGACAGAGCTCCTATAAAACCCATCCCACAGCTCTGTTACCTTTACCTTTCAGTGTTTTCTCATCCCTAGCTCCTTTGCTCAAATTTATGTGTTCCTTCCAGTTAGGTCCACAGTGAATTTGAAACACAAGAGTGTTACCATCCTGCTTCACATGGATAATCATGCACAAAACTTATTACCAGACCTCAAGAATCAGACATTTAGGTCTCCCTTTAGGCCTTCCTCTCCCCCTCCTTATTTTAAAATGTATCTAATGCTTTTAGTATTTCTTCCTACAAATTGTTTTCATGGTCCTCCCTGGGGTAGTTTTTAAACTGCAGTCTGGAATGAGAGGCACTCAATACTACTATCACAACAGTGTTTCTCTGCCTATACTACTTCACTGCTCTAGCAAGGCCTCAAATATCAGCCAATTCACAGCCCTTCCAGGACCTGTTTATTTTGTACTTTCCAGTACAGTATTTGCTCTTTTCATAATGGATGATACTTAGACTCCTGAGGTGCATTTTAGAGTTATAAATCATCCCCTGAACTCTCCCTCATCTTCTGTTCATGCCATGTGATTATTTCTACATTGCTAATTCCATTTTGAAATGCATCTTATTGCACCCTGTTTTTCCAGCTTGTCCTGAAATACCTGAAGTCTGCTTTTTCAGATGCTTGCAGCTCCTTCCAGCCTAGGATCTTCTGCAAAAACAGTATTTGCCCTAAGCTTCATCAAGGAGAAGGACAATGGAATAATTCAAAAGAGTGGATCTGGAAGCCATTTTATAGAGCACAATTCAATTTTATTCTGATTTGAAAGTGAAGTGCAGAAGAAAACTGACTGTCCTTCCAGCCAGAGAGTATCCTTATTATAGACTTCCAATGAATCTCATATGTTTATGTCAAAAAGCACAGGGAGCTGGAGCAAAAGCACTATATTTGCTTTTCTTTATTGTCAAGTTGGTTTCATATGATTTAATTTATGCCTTCAGATTCATGCCAGCAGCTCTCTAAAATAAAGTTTTGTCAACTGTATATTTGCTAAATAAAAGCTTTTACAAAGTCTAACACAAATAATTCATATATTGATTTTGTTATTTATTTCTGATTAACTTGCAGTCTGAATTGTGGCAGAAGAAGGGGAACTGGAAGAAAGAGATGCCTGAGATCAAAGAGTCAACACTTGCTGGTGTTACATGGAAGACCAGATGTGGGAAGGGCGGAGTGCAGCAGAAAGCAGTTTAAAATTAAGTTTCATAAATAGTAACTAAGACAGTTCATAAATAAATTCACGTAAGTATTTGCTATGTATAAAGGAAAGGTTTAGTTTACTAATTCTTTAGTACACCATGTAAAACCCACTACTCACTTGCTTTCTATGCCATCCTCCCCTTCTACAAGAATGCTGTGACACGTCCACTTCACATCTCCTGGCAGTGAAAATCACCCAGACCACCCCAGTGCAACATCCCAAAGAGCTGGGGTGAGGGCAAAACTACACCTAAACATCAAATCTGTGCTGGCACATCAACACCTGTTGGATTTCACCGCAGAAAGAGGCAGGCTAGGCAAGGATTGTGAGCCACTGCAGCCACACAGTATCTGCCTGAATCCACCCGGCATATAACTCAGCCACAATAACATTAAACAACTTGAACTCAAAATAAAAGTAAAAAAAAACCATCAAAACCCAAATGACCTGAAGTTCCCCTCAACAGTACATAAGCATTTCCACTTGCTGCACTTCATTTCTCTTAGGATTTTCTGTGCTCCAGCTGAAGGTTACCCACAGCACAACCAGAATAGGTACACCAAATGGTCAAGTAACCTGATGCAGCTCTTCTACCCAGCTAAAGAAGTCATCTCTAGGACCTTGTCCAGACCAGGATTTAAAGGTATGCTGTCACAAGTTACATACAGCTTTAAATCCTACTCTAGAAAAGACCTAGGTGGAAAAGGAGAGGTGATTTTTCACAACTATATACCATCTCTGCTGATTATTATTATTAATCAGACAAAATGTGATTGCAATGAAGTACTATAATTATAGGTTCAGCTTTACAAAAATATTCACATACACTGGCTTTTTATCTGTCCTTTACCTGTCCAAAGTCCAGGAAATCATGAGACATACAAAATGAAATTTCCTCACAGTATTTGTAATGAACAGGAAACTGGGAGCAGAGAAATAACCCCATTTAACATCACTAGTGATGTCATAAATCTCATGCCAAGGTTACATACCAAAAGGGCAGACTGGGGGATGTTGCAACCTTGGTATTTCAAGAATGGCATAAAAGACACAACAACAAAAAGAAGCTACCACCTTTTCTTCTGTATTTCTTAAAGGAAATTGGTAAGATTCAGTTGTACTTTGCTGCCTATATTTCAAATGTAAAAAAATTGAATAAATTCACTTTGATGAATTTCAAGAGAAAAATAGGTTACAAGTGTTTCAATTTAAAAACATAAATATTTATCTTATGCTAAGCCAATGTGCAGCCTTTTACATGTAATTCAGCATTTAAAAATGACAGATTTAGTTAAAAAAAATGTACATATAACTAATGTAGTACAAACGTCTTCAGTAAAATTTAAAATTACTAAAATGCTTGTTGCAAAGTAAAGATAAACAAACAAGGAGTCTGTATTTGAGGAAAAAAATCCTCTTTCAGTGTTTTCAGCTGTTTTTCCTCCCACATGCTGCTTTTCAAAAAACGTATTTATTTAGGAATGTACTAATTTATCAATATTTATAATTTCACCCTAAAATCCCCAAATAATATCCCTACAATTTATGCTTTGGTTTTTCCTGGTCTTCAGAAAATGAACTTGGGTTCCTGAGTAAGTTAGTTCTAGTTCCAGACTATCTCAGCAATATTAGGTATGTGCAATAAGAACAAAAATCTGTGTATTAATTGTTATGTTTTATTTACCTTATCATTCAGCAAAAATTGAATATCATTCTGCAAGCAGTTTTTTTCAAGACAGATATGCCTCAGACACCAATCTGTCTCAAAAAACTATCCTGAAATAGATGTGCCTTATGCAATGGTTTCAGCAAAAATTTTACCCTTTTAGCTTCAGCATCTTAAGGTTTACCAGTTTGTAAATACAGAGCACAAGTCCTCCTGACGAGAAGTCACCTTGAAGTTATGACAGTAACTATGAAATAGTCTCTCTTGGCTATGTATTTGAAAGCTGCCTGAACTCCTCTATTACACAGTTGCAATGTGCATATAGCTGTCTTTTCTTCGGATATCACCAAAGTCTTTTTCCTGACTTTTCTTCTCCAAAGGCAGCTACAACACTACAGGAAAATATAATAACTTTTGTAGCACTATTTAACTATATGCAGAGGCAATTAAAGGGGTCCTGCATTCCTCACCCAAACTACAAATATTATAGTCTCCTCTTAAAATACTTTTATAAGACTTAAAATTTATGAAAAGCAGGTGCAGTCCCTGCATTTGAGAGAGGACTGAGGAAACACTGGTCTTCACTGCATGTCTGTGGTTGAGGAGATTCAAGTTGAGGAGCAGCAGCCAGGCAGAACATCACAGTGCAGTGCACCCCACCAGCCCACCTAACACCGCATGGCCATCAAAAGCTTAAGCAACTGTTTCGTGCCAGAATGCCCGGACCAAACAAATGTACATATATGAGGATGGTACAAAGGCATGAAACAACGAAAGAGCAAATGTCCCTGTAAAGATCAAGCTTTGAACTGAGTTCATGGAGTGGCTTTCCAATGCCAGCATATGGTAATTCCACCACGAGATTACTGCCACCCTAAGCTGCAGGGACAAGAAATTGAAACAGCCCAGTCAAACATCATTTGATGCTGACATTTTGTGAGCTATTATACCAAAAGGCATCCTTCTATGACAGGCCTGCACAGGAATCAAATGGAAGGATAACATACCAGAGATTACAGGCACTAGCTGCCTTAAAGGTTAAAATCCTACCTCCAACTAAATGCATACACAAATGTCATAAACATGCATATAAAAACACTGAAATTATCGTCTAGCGATACAGCTGCTAGCATCTCTGAATTTTAATTTTAAACCAGAAATGTCTTACTAAATATGAAAGTCTAATCACATCAACGAGCAAAAGTTATCCCTCTTGAAACATACATCCAAAATAGTGATTCCACTGACTATGCCACACACAGAGTTGACAAATCAATGTTGTGTGTAACTGCAGATAAAACATCACAGAGGGAGGGAAGAAAAAAGGGCATATAACAGTGGCAATGCCTGAATGAATACACAGAAAGTATAATATTCCCATCACTAAGTCCTAAAGGTCTTAAAAAGCTCAGCTGTGTCTGTATCATACCAAATGTTTCTCAAACAAGTGATCTCTGAGCACCTGTCTCTGGCTTAAGGCAAGCTGACTGACATCATTGTGATGTCTCATTTGAGACATCTTCAGCTCACTCACAGCTGCTGAAACATATCAAGGAATAACCCACAAATACTATCCTTTTCATATCAACAGCTGCAACAGAACTGCAATAGTATTGGTGTAAGTAGGCAATCAAATAGGCAATAATGCATAAAATATTGGTTCATCCTGAATCCCTGCAGTCAAAGCTGTCTAGCGCATTTGCACCCTGGGAGTGATGTACCCTTGTCTCGATACTGACCTTTATTCCAAGACGTATGTCCTGCTACAAATGCTTGAGCTGCATTTACAGTTTCAGTGCAGAAGGCATCTGCAAGGGAGTCTTTGCAGAGTAGTGATCTGCATGCACAAATGAGAACCAAATTTTGACCTGAAACGCTGTTATATGCCCAGAATACCCAAATTCTGTTTTTAACATCCTTGCTTTAATTATCACCTATACCAACTCTTTTTGCAAGCTGGAAAGACTGTTCCTTTCCAGTTTTTCTGATTGGGCCCCCATAAATTCTGTTTACAACACAGAAACAGAAAAGTTTTAAACTGAATATGATGAGAGTACATGATGAGTTTTCATAATTGATTAAACTAGCTTGCTCTTCTTAACCATTCTTTCCATACATAAAGTTAAGAATAAAACAAAAGACACCAAAGGCATCCTTAATCGGCAGTGTAAGCCAACAGACCACCTCGAGAATTTATGCATGCAAGACACTATGATTAAGGAGAGTTTACAAACAGGATTAATTAGACATTTCTGAAAACATTAAGGGGAAGACAAGCAATGTTTCAGCTCTTATGATAACACTTTTCCAATGTCTGAGAAATGTCAGCTAGGCAAACTAAAATTTCCTAATTATAATTTTTTTTAAATGTTCTGAATGAAAACAGCAATGATGTGGGGTTTAATCCTGGGGTCTCTTTTGGTTTGTGGGGTTAAGTTGAATCCTTAGACACTGGAGAAAGGAAGAAGCAATGTGTTTTGAGTGGAAGTATTACAGCACAATTTGCACCAATCTCTAGTGGGCATAAAAGTATCTTCATAGGAAAGCACCTGTAACTGCATCTATCTGGCAGTCTGGCTTCCTAGTTTGTGGATACAAAACTACCAACCTATAAACCTGCATATCAGAAAAAGCTTTTTGAGGCAAAGAGAGATACAGAGGTCCTGATGAACTACAAGTCAAGATACCTAGCTCTGGCAGAGCCCACTTTACTGGGCACTCTTTCAGTTTCCATCTCGCAGCATTACCTCCGCCTAAGGCCGAGTAGCACCAGCCGCCCGATTTAACGGAGAGCACTGATTACTTCAGCGACCTGACTTGCCTTCCCATTCATGACGCCAAGTAAGTTCTGGCTAGCCGAAGGCAAAGCCCGGTTACCACACGCGCGTGGCGCAAAGCGCACCTGCCTCCCCGGCTTAGAAAACCAAAAGTTTCCACGGAGAGACAAGTGAGCGCGGGCTGCGGAGCTGCGCCCACGGTCCCAGCCAACTCCAGGATCCCTCACTTCTCCCGGAAGGGGCCGGGGCTTGCCGCGGCAGGACGGGACGGGCTGCCCGCCCTCACACGCACCTGTGGCGGCCGGCACTGCCGCGCCTCCGGCTCTCACCTGGATCTGCAGCGGGACCAGGCGCACCTTGCAGCGCTCGTTGACCAGGAAGCCCTTCGGCAGGTCGATGTACTGGCTCCACTCCTCGGCGAAGAGCTGCACCACGAACTTACGGTGCATGTCTATCTGGTCCCCGTACAGGCTGAGGAACTTCTGGATCAGCAGCTCGTAGCCGGCTCCGTGGGGCAGGCTGGAGGGCCGCGCGAAAACCGAGAAGCAGAAAAGGACGGGCACGGAGCCGCCGCCCGCCGGCGCGCAGCTCCCGCTGCCCGGAGCAGTGCCGGGCTCCGCCGCCGCCATCTTCAGGGACCGCCGCGCCGAGCCCCGCCAGTTCGCTGCGGTCCGCCCTGCCGCTCCTCCTCCCGCCGCCTCCTCCCCCACGACCGGCCGGGCGGTGCCGGCGGGCCCCAATCCCAGCTGCGGCTGCTCCTGCTCCTCCTCCCCGCCATGGGGCTCGGCCCTGCCCCGCACCCCTACGGGGCTGAGAGGGCTGCCGGGGTGCCTTCGTCGGGCGGACTCGGGGTGTCTTGGGCGGGGGCACGGTGCCTTGCCTGCTTAGGCGGACGGTGAGAAGAGCAGCCCCACAGGGGCGCACTCGCGCTCCTCCGGGCGGAGAGAGGCTGTGTCTCCCGGAGAGGGGCAAAGGGACACCGCCGCTGTGCGGCCCCGGCGGGGCCCTGGCCGGGTGGCGGCCCGGGGCAGAGCCCGCCGCGGGTGCGCAGGGCAGGGCGGGCTCGCAGCCCGGGCGGACACCGGGCCCAGCCACGGCGGGGACGGGCACGGCCGCGTCCCGTGGAAGCTGGGAAGGAAACCTGTTGGTAGAGCCTGAAACATGCACTGTTGCTTTGGAGGGTGATGCAGCCCAGATCTGTGTGGGGCACTGGTAGCTGAGTTCTCTACGAGTCTTCCTTCGGAATTGCCCGTTTTTCAGGAGCGGGCGGTGCCCGAGCCGCGGCTCCGAGCTTCCAGCTCCATCCACGGATGAGGGGAAATGAGCAGGATAGAACGCATATTTTTTCCTTCGTAGCTTCATGCTCTGTACCATATTTATTTTTTTCTACAGGAATGACTGACAGCTGAAATTGTTGCCCCTATTTTTGCCATAATTACCAGAGCTTCTGTTATATTAAAGTGTGCTTGGGGGAAAGATCTGAGTAGTGTAATACTCGCATAGAAAGAAAATATTCTCTGTTAAAAACAAGTGGATGTTTACATGCACTGTGCCAATGCACCATTAAGGTTAATGCATGTTTGTGTGGCACAGAGTTGATTAGGAGGATGGAGCACCTCTCCTATGGGGAAAGACGAAGAGATTTGGGATTGTTCATCCTGGAGAAGACTTCAGGGTGACCCAATTGCAGTCCTCCAGTACCTGAAGGGAGCCTACAAGAAAGATGGAGAGGGACTTTTTTACAAGGGCATGTCGTAACAGGGCAAAGGGGAGTGACTTCAAACTGAAAGAGAGTAGGTTTAGATTAGGTATGAGGAAGCAATTCTTTACGGAGGCACTGGAACAGGATGCCCAGAGAAACTATGGATACCCGATCCCTGGAAGTGTTCAAGGCCAGGCTGCATGGAGCTCTGAGCAACCTGGTCGAGTGAAAGGTGTCCCTCTGTTCAAAGCAGGGGGATTGGAGCAAGGTTATCTTCCGACACACACATTCTATGATTCTATGCAAATTGTTCTCAGGCTTTACTGATACCAGAAATTTAGAGCTGTTATGTTAAATGACAGTATTATGTTTTTACTAGTTGGTTGGTTTGTTGGGTTTTTTTTCACTGGAAAATACACTGTTGATATGATTTGATTTTAAAAGTGCAAGAATAAGTAGTGTTTTGCAGTTATTTACTTACTCACTCATGTACTCACTAGGCACCAAAGCAGCATGAAGTGATTATTTTACACACTACCCGAGAAACAAATGTGCAATAGCACCTGCACATTAGAGGAAAAACACTGAAGTGATACTGTGTTTAGGCAGAAATTACATATAATTTATATATAGATATTTATAAGATACTAAGTTTTTAGAAGGATTCAATCATAAGTCTAAAATACTCCCTTTTTTTGCCATCTCTAACTGCCATTGAATTCAGTGGTTTCATACAGAATTTCTACCTCCTTTCCACAGTAGATAGTGTCAAACTGACGTATTCAGTCTGACTGAACACATCTCTGTGGTTAAGATATACTTTGAAAAGAGTGGAGAGCCTGTCCATCTGGTTTTGGTTTAAACACTTCATCGTATCCTGCAGAGGACAATATGTAGCTGGGAAAAAAATAAATTTTCACCTCTAAAAAATAAGGTGAATACTTGGGAGTGTTTGGTGAATTATGTACAACTCTGTTCCACCTGCCAGCTGTAAAAAATGTCCAGTAGCCTGGATTCAGGGCTTACTTTAATTATTTGTCCATGCTTACTGTTCTGCTGATTTAATTTATTGATACAGACAGTCATTAATGCTGTTACAGTGGAGGAATACAGGGTGAATAATTTTATGGCCTAGTCATTAGCTGACTTGAATCAGTTCTCGTTTTCCAAAAGAAAAGGTGACAAATTGAACATCCAGTGAATTATCTTTATTTTCTGTGACTTAAACTGGTTCCCATTTCTTAATTTGTACTTTATTTTCATTGAGTGCAGTTCTAAAATTAAATATACTTCTCAAACATAGCATGGGTAGTGGCTTTGTGGATTAATAGTGCCTTTTAAATGGATTTCCTTTTTCCATTATAGCAAGATAGATACATCTGTATTAACAAAATAAGCCATAGCAGGTTCTTACCTTTCTAAACTGCTGTCTATAATAAATACATTTGAATAAAAATCAGTTATTATGCAGAACACATAACATATTTTAGAATGTTCACCAGACTCAAGCTCACTTAAATAACAGAAAAAGTTTTGCTAACAGGATAAAATGGGTGCAATGACCAGGAATTGTCAAGGCAGTAACCACATCCATCCAAAACCTGGATGATGAGGGGCTTTTCTGCTGCAGCTGACCATTGCTTCCCCTGTTTCCCCTCAGGTCAAGGACCCAGAGCAGGGGCTGCTCCTCCCTGCACAGGAGGTCTTGCAGGCAGAGGAGCACAGCGACTAGGCTCCCTGCACACACATAAAGGCAATGCCATAGCTGCTTTCTTTTCCACACAACCTGTCTGTCTTTACTAAGTGACAGCTAATCTTGGCCTTGGTCTGTCTTATTTGTGCTGGTATCATATTGTGCAGCCTTGGATCTTTTCACTTTTCAAATTCCGTCTCTTACACTATAACTTCACAGTCAGTCTTTTCACAGGTAGCTTAATCTATCTATCTTTCTTTCTTTCTTTCTCTTTCTTTCTTTCTTTCTCTTTCTTTCTTTCTTTCTCTTTCTTTCTTTCTTTCTCTTTCTTTCTTTCTTTCTCTTTCTTTCTTTCTTTCTCTTTCTTTCTTTCTTTCTCTTTCTTTCTTTCTTTCTCTTTCTTTCTTTCTTTCTCTTTCTTTCTTTCTTTCTCTTTCTTTCTTTCTTTCTCTTTCTTTCTTTCTTTCTCTTTCTTTCTTTCTTTCTCTTTCTTTCTTTCTTTCTCTTTCTTTCTTTCTTTCTCTTTCTTTCTTTCTTTCTCTTTCTTTCTTTCTTTCTCTTTCTTTCTTTCTTTCCTTCCTTCCTTCCTTTTTCTTTTCTTTTTTTTCTGTTCTTTTCTTTTTTCTTTGTAGCTGCCTGTGCTTGGAAAGTATTGTCCCATAGAGGAAATCACTTCTCTTTTAAGCACAAATCACTTCTGGTTCAAGCACAAAATTTTTTCCATGCCAGCTTTGGTCATCTTCAGTTGTCAAGGTATCACCCTGAGATCCAGCCTTGAGAAGGGACACTTTCCAAGCATCACCAACTGAATGTAAGTTGGATTCAGTAATGTTTTTTGTGTCTCATCATACAGCTCCTGTGGCAGTTACAAATACAGGACTTAGCCCACCTATAAATCCAGCATAGCATTTTTTGCTTCATGTAAAGAGAAGAGTATGAGTACACAGGAAAAGTGCCCAATGATCCCCATTACACTGGCGTAAAACATGGTACTGTTAATCAGTTTGAATAACACAAGTGTGTAACAGCATTTGTAACACATCTCTGTGGCATCTCACATTGCAAGTAATGTGTCGTTGGTTCTGGTACACAATTAAGAAAAATACTGCTTTTACTAGAAATTCAATGTTAGCCACTTCATGTCATGTAGGCTGTATTTTGGTATCTTTTGATATCATTTCCTATATAACAGCACTCGGAACAGGATAGGAGAATGTGACACAAATGGTGACCACAGAATCAGAGAGTCATAGAATTGTTTAGGTCTGAAGATAACATCGAGTCTAACTGTAATATAGTGCTGTGAGGCAGAGCCAAAACATAGACAAGACCCTACTTCTATGTTACTAGGACTAAAAATGTGAAAATTCAAGTTCTCATGGAAAAAAAAATAGCGGTGCCAAAGCAGTCTGCTGAATTTTAACTGTTTTTTTCTTTCTTTTGCTAAAGCAAATTTTATTAAAATGATGATGCCACAATGGAAGCTTAATTACAAAACTCAGCTGTTTTTTTCTGTAGGAATGTAAAGAATTTAAGTTGGGAACAATTACAGTATTATAAGGCAATCATGTATAAAGCCATATATAAAGAGCTTACTCTCTGGATAGTCATATAACTGTTTTCACAGTGGTATGTTACAATAAAATTTCTTAGACCTATTTTCAGATATGGTAGCCCCACATTTTTATGGTTATAAATAATTACATGTCTTCATTAGAAGCATTAAACATGGTATGGTAATTCTATTAAAGAACAGTCTTAATGAGTATGTTTTCCTTTAAATCACAAAGCACGGCAGACAAAGTTGTAAAAATTTGTCAATTATTTCTTCAAGATTAGTGTTGCAACTATATATTTTCAGGGCACAGAATAACTTGGAATTACAGCAGATGTCGGTCAAAAAATTCAGTTAAGTTTACTTTTGCGATTTATTACCAAAGGATTTTCAACATTGTTGATGTAAATATAAAAACATGCTTTTCCAGGCAGAGACTAAAGAGAAGAGGGCCTTTTTCATCTTCTGTCAAGCTGGCTAATGACAGTGGCAGAGATCTTAGAATCCATTTTGTTGTCTGAAGGTTGATAAGCCTGAAAACTTCCAGCATTTCTTTTATGATATAATTGGTCTATATCTCTTGCAGTCACTCTTCCACTCTTTATATACATTAGGTTTTGGGGGTTATTTAGTTTCTGTTTAATTTTTCCTTTGAATCAATAATGTTTGGTCACATGGAACAGCAGTTTCCATAGTGAAGAGTATTTTGAGTGTTGTCTGTACTGTGCCTGTTGCTTGATCCGTAGTTTATTTTTATGTCTTTGATGACTTGTACATGTTTAGATCAAATAAGCTTTAGTCACAAGCCA